CGAACTTTTCGGAAACCAAAGCATTTACAGCCAGGGGGGAGGGGGGGGAAAAAAAAAAACACGCGATACAATGCGTACAAGTGCATGCAAAAAAGCCTCTTTTCCATCAGCAAAAAATGAAATTTAGCAAGACGTTCGCTTCCACCGTAAGTGAGTGTAGTATTTAAACGTATAATGCAATGGAAAAAAAATACGTGGCTTTCAATACTTGCTTAAAAGAAGATGAGGAATTTCATTTGTTCTTCCCATCCGTCCAGTTATCGTAACTGTCACTGAAATTTCCTTCCAAATTTATTTCTTCTAAGACGCTCAACTGCGCCTTCTCCTGCTATCTATAAACGGAAACGAGTACTAAATTTACAAGCCGCATTCGCATACTATGGTAACGTTCAGCTTCCCATATTGCATTCCGACAACTGAAGTTGTAGTACTAAACCTAGTCACCATATAGCCATTTCTTATACCTTTTACGGTTAAAAAATAGAAAAGAAGAATACTTCCTCGACTGGACGTGCAACAAGTGAACTGAACTGGTCCGAAAAAAAATCCAAAACAAGAAAAAGCTTGAATAAAAAGCCTCAAGTCCGGACGGAACTTACAAACTACAGTGGCAATAAAAAAAGAACCTTTGTAGTTCAATCAGTTTTGCAACATTTGAAGAAATCACAAACCGCATAACACTCTTTCGCTTCCCAAGAATCTGATAATAACGGTTTCCATGCACATCCTCACCGACATACTTTTTCATTTCTCGAGCAGCCAAAGATTTCTTGAAATTCATCCATACGGTATGCCATACTCCTGGTCTGCTCATCTAAATTTCAAGATGTACTACTGCACTAAAAAACCAATTTAATTTCCACTTTATTACTGCAGTAGACATTGAAGAATTTTCAGCAACTAAGATAAAACGTTTAACCCGTCGCCATAAAAAATTAAGGCACTCGTAAACAGCAAAAAATTTTGGTTGTCACTGACCAAAAATATACAATTTTTCATATGATCAAGTGTGAGGGTTACAAGAACAATTTCTACCAACAAATACAAAGTTGAGTTTAAAAGTGGATAACATAACATTTAAAACTAGCACTATCTTCTAAAAACGCTTCGAGTCGCCGTATAAAACGTTCAAGCCAGATTTTCTCGAGTCCAGAGAATGAAAATCAGTGAAATAACTTCAGCATTATAAGTAACTGGTGCACCAAGTACGTCACCTTTCATACCGTTTTGTACTTTTTTCAGACCACTTGTAATGTCGGCTAACAATTGGTAGGTTGAACCAACAAAACTATTATTGTTAGATCCGCTTGCAAAGTTTTTAAGAGATATCGAGGTAAAGAAGTATGTGATCACTTTTGTAGTTCTACTTTTAACCAGTAGAAAGGTTTCTAGGACTTAGGCTTTGCTCTCACCAAAGTTATTTTACAGTTGATATCTATGTACCCCTCCACTGTTTTATCTGAGTTTTTAGTATTGTTTGCATTGGTCAGTGGTTTATTAAGCTACCTCAGACAACGTTTAATATTAGAAGACCAAATAGTCTCAAAATTTGTGAACTTTGGCACCAGTTGCAACATTTTGCATGGTTTCTGCCTTAGCCCTTCCTCGATCCAAATAAAAGGATTTATGAAATTAATGGTGTAGCTGAAATCCACTAATAACGGTTAAAAAATACCTAAACCCACTATGGAGATCAGCAATATTACTAATAACGTCAAAATAAAAAAAAAAAACTCAGATCCAAATATATAGAGACTCTTTTCTGAATTCTAAAAAGTAGAATCCCAACCTCCCGACCTTACGATCGCCTACTTTCACCTTTAAGCCAGTACTTAATTGAGACAATAAAACAGGTGGCCGTAAAAAGTCTACTACGACAGCTTATATCCTATTTTACGTACGAAAAACCGATTTATAGGAGGTTCGCAAAGATGGAATTATGCCAAAAGTGCGCACCAACACTGAAGAACGATTGCCGCCTCTCCGCTTCGGAGAAGTTACCTACCTGCGCAACAAAAAACTTTTCGCTTCTTCCTGAAGAAAGTCTGCGGTTTCTCTATCGTACATCCGCTATAAAGCTACCGAAGGGAAGTGGAGCATTTTGGCATTTAAGACGGATGCTTGCTACTTTACTGAGTAGGAAACCTTGTAGAAGTCATCCAAACAACTGTGGATAACTTACTTTCGACTTTTCCTACCGGAAAGTGAGAGCGGAAATTGAACTGGGCGAGAAAAAGAACACAGGAAACACCTAAAATGGATGTCCTCTAATCAAATCAGGACCTGCTATTCGTAGTAAAGACGATAGTCATAACAACCGGTGCGTATAATACAGATCTAGTGCGCAACAGATCACCGAAAACTAGTGTACGTGGAGAATGAGGGAATCGAACCCCCGACTTCTCGCATGCAAAGCGAGCGCTCTACCCCTGAGCTAATTCCCCGGAAACATCACCTTTAGAAGAGAATAAATAAACTGATTTCCAACTCCATATGCCACTTGACCGAGACGCATGACGGTTAGATTAATTAAACTAAATTTTTTCTGCAGAAAGAAGAAGTTAGGCATTAAAGTTTGAGAAAAGTTGATTCAACTTGTGAGTTATCGACAATTTTCGGACTGCTCTACAGTTATTGTATAATTCAATAAAATCTTATATGTGAATGAAGAATTGGACACTAACCGAAAAACTGCCCTGCTGCAAAATCTAATATTCAATAAAAATTCAGCTTTTTTTTTCTGTAATCTTTGGTAGAAGAAAACTGAAGTTGGATAAGATAAGAAAACAAATTTTGAACTTTCTGTGCCATTTAGAAACAAACTGTGGTTTGACCATTGAAGCATTGTAATTAATATAACTGTTGAATGATTATACATGATTTTTACGACTAATTTGTTTATTTTTACAGAAAGTTCAGCAAAATTATCAGCAAGCTTAAACTAGATCACTGAAATTTATAATCAAATTTTAAGGCAGAAAAAAATTTTTCAGTAAAGAGAAGACAGTCCTCATTATCTTTAAATTAATCGTTTTTTAAAATGTACTTATAGTATACAGAAAAAGTTTTTTATTTGCAGATAAAACCTAACAGGTGTTTTAGTGCACTTCTATAGTAAAGATTTTGGC